TAATTGGGGAGCTCCACCAAACACTGTCCACCATGGATAGCCATTATTGCATTTGACACATCAGTGTCACAGTGTTCAGCATCACAGCAACCACAAGTTACCTCTGTACAGCAAATGCACAGACCAGTGCTATACCACTTAGAAGAATGTTTGACCAAAACCAATTAAAACCAGGCCTGAGCCCACCGCCAGTCTCCCCTCCCCCGCCTCCCCTTCTCCCTCCTGATGCTTTTGAGCTGTAGTGGCTGGTATTGGATATACCATGGACTGCCAGGACAGCAAAGTCATGGGAGGGTCTTATATTAAAGGGGCTTGGGTGGAACTGGTTGATATGGAAAGCTGGTTAACAGAAACTGTCCAAGTTCATAGGGTTCCTTTACTGTTGTTATGTGCCAGTTGAGTCACTTGCAACTCATAGCAACGCTGTGTACAAGAACCCTAAACCCTGCTCTATCCTGTGCCAACCTCATTGTCTCCTTGCAACATGTCCAAAGTATGTCAGACAAAGCTTCAGAATCCTTGCCTCCAAGGAGCAGGCCAGCTTCACCCTTTCCAGGACAAACCTGTTTGTTCTCTCAGCAGTCCATGGTATATTCAACACTCTTCTGCAGCACCACAGCTCAAAGGCATCAATTCTCTATCATCCCTAGTAACTGTCCAGCTCTCTTATGCATAGCACACATATGTGAAGACTATGGCCTGGATCAGGTGCACCTTAGTCGCCAGCATGATGTCGTTGCTCCTCAGTACTCTTGAGAGGTCCCTGACAGCTGACTTTCCCAATGCAATTCATCTCTTGATTTCCTGGCTGCTGGTACCAAGAGTGTTGACTGTGGAGCCAAGTAAACTAAAACTATTAAGTATCTCAGTTTCTTCACCATCCACACTGATGTTGCCAGTTGGCCCAGAGGTGAGAACCTTTGTTTCCTTGATATTGAGCTTCAATCCGTATTGAAGGCTTCAGTCCTTCACCTTCTGTAGCAAGCACTTCAGGTCCCCCTCAGTTTCAGCAAGCAGGGTTGTGTCATCTGCATAACACAGGTTGTTGATAGATCTTCCACCAATCCTGATGCCACACTCCTCCTCATACAGCCCATCATCCTGTATGATCTGTTCTGCATAAAGATTGAAAAAGTATGAAGATGGAATACATCCCTGGCAGCCATCCTTCCTTGCTCTGTTCTGATAACTGCCTCTTGGTCCAAGTACAGGTTTCGCATTAGCACAATCAAATGTTCTGGGACTCCCATTCTTCTCAGAGTCAGCCACAGCTTGTTGTGACCCACATAGTCAAAAGCCTTTGCATAGTCAATGAAGCACAGATAGACATTCCTCTGGTATTCTCTGCTTTTTGCCAAGATCTATCTAACATTAGCTATAATTTCCCTAGTACCACGACCTCTTCTACACCAAGTCTGCACATCTGGCAGTTCTCTGTTGATGTGTTGCTTGTCATTTTGGGGTAATTTTCAGCAGAATCTTGCTTGCATGTGGTATTAATGATATTGTTCAATAATTTCCGCACTCTTGTCAGGTCACCTTTCCTTGGAATGGGAAAAAAAATCTCGATCTCTTCCAGTCAGTTGGCCACCTGGCTGTCCTCCAGATTTCTTGGCACAATTAGTGGGCACATCCAGGACAGTGTCTGTTTGTTGAATTATGTCAATTGATATGCCGTCAACTCCTGGAGCCTTGTCTTTTGCCAATTCTTTCAGAACAACTTGAACTTCCTCCTTCATCACCACAGGCTCTTGCTCATACGTCATTCATGAAATTCCTCTGTGTCGGCCGATTCCTTCTGGTACAGTGACTCTGTGTACTCATCATGTTTTCCCCAGGAACTGACCATTCCTGACAACCGTGCTCAGAGTATGTGAAATGAAGCTCACCATTCACACCAGTCAGGAGCATCCTGGCGGTGGACACAGCCTCTGAGATGCTGTGCTTGCTTGGCAGTCCACGGGATGTTCAGCATTCTTTCTCCAACACCACAACTCAAAGATACCCGTTTTTCTTCAGTCTTCCTTTTTTATTGTCCAACTTTCTCATGCATATGAAGCAATTAAAAGTATCACAGTTTGATTCTTTCCTTTTCATCATTTACTGAAAAACAAAACCAGAAACAACAACCACAACCAACAAGAACAACAAAATAAAGAAAGAAAGAAAAGGAAAAAAAAAAAGTATCACAGTTTGGGTCAAGAACATCTCATTTAAAGTGACATCTTTGCTCTATAGCACCTTAAAGAGGTCTTTGACAGCTGACGTGCCTAGTGAAATATGTTTTTAAATTTCTTTACAGCTACTGGCATGGCTGTTGATTGCAGATCTAATGACATAGCAGTAATAACACTGAAATAAACCACCTATTGGTAATAGAACTTTAGTAAAGAGATTAAATCCAATATGTAGAGAAAAGACAGATAATCCTGACTAAACCTAATATCTATTTGAACAAAAACTGAAACAAAGTCTATACCTCACTCCATATAATAAAACGAACTCAAGATGAATCAAGGAATTATGCATAAAATCTAAAACTATAAAGATCATCAAGAAAAACTCAAGGCAAACTTAGGAGCCCAAATCAGTGGTATAAATAGACTATCAAAATAATTGAAAATACATATATTAGACAGAAAACAAACTACACTGTTGGGACCTCCTCAGAATTAAATTCTTATGCCTATCAACAGACTTTTCTAAAAAAGTAAAAAGAGAACGTGAAGATTGGGGAAAATGTTTGGCAAAGACACATCTGACAAGGGATTCATCTCTAAAAATCTACAGAAAATTCAAGCACCTCAACAAAAAGAGACAACCGATTACAAAATGGGCAGAAGACATAGATATTTCACCAATGAAGGGAGACATTCTGGTGGCCGGCGTGGCGAAGCCCCCAAGATCTTTCACTATTTTCTCTCTCCTTGCCAGAAGGTGGACAGAGTCACAGCTAATCTTCTGTGGAGTTTCTGAGCCATAAATTGCAAAGCAGGCGATTATCCATTTTCTTCTAAGGAGCAGCTGGTGGACTAAACTCCCAGACAGCTATGATCTTCGGATTAGCACTGATTTCCCTTGTGCACTAGTCCACCAAGGCTTTCTCACTAGCTGTTGTTGTTGATATGCATCATTGAGTTGGGATCCACTCATAACTGACCCTCCAGCAGGTTTTCAGAGGCATAGAAAACTTGATTGCCCATCTTTCTCCGGCAAAGCAACAAGAGGATTCTCACCACATGCCTTTGGGTTGACAGGGAAGAAGCTGTGCTATGCTGCACTTCTCTGACCTGCAGGGAAGAACCAGGTGACAGAATGACCTGTTGAAACCGTTAGTCAAGAGCATAAGGAGAGAGGAACTGGAGTGTCCTCTCGACTTGTATATCTTCATAGATTTTACTGAAAAGTTTCCTAATACATAAGCAAAAGAAAATATTAAGAAGAATAATGAGATTTACACAAGACAATCGGTTATAATGACCTTTCCCTTTTTTAGGATTATATTCATATCAGTGATTTTGAGTTATCAAGAAAATATTTTCTCTGAAACATATTACACACACACCTACATGTAAGGCAGAATGTTCTGACTTTATGGGAACATGTTTACATTTACATCATGCTTGGGAGGGTGAAGGAACAGTGCAGGAGAGGAAGACCCCGGATAATATGGATTGACACGGTGACTGCGGAAACGGGGATTGATGGGTCAGAGTCAAAACTGGCTCAGAATAGGGCGGGCTTCAAAGCTGTTGTACGGAGGGTCGGAGGGTCGGGTCGCTGTGAGTTGCGGGACACTCAAAGACACGTAACAACAACATGGAAAGATGCACACAGATGGTCTCTCAGGGGGTAACAGCGATGGAAAGGGGGGAAGTGCACGTGTGATCTTTATTCCTGCAGGTGACAGATGTAGGTGTGCGTGGAGTGGCCCATGCTCGCCCTCCCGAGACAGGCCCAAACCGAAAGCCTCAGAAGGTCAAGGTGGTGGCGAACTCTGAGCACAACTCCCTGGCGGAGGGGGCGGTGCGAACTACATTTCCCAGGCAGCTGTGCGGCCGAGACTACATTTCCCAGAGTGCTGAGGGGTCAGGTGGCCGCACTTCCGGGACTCCGGTCCCACCTTTCTACCTGGCCGGTGCGTGGCTGGAGACGTGGCCCGAGACGCCCGCGGTCCTTGCTCGGGGCAGGTGCAGCAGGGCGTAGGTGAGAAGTCTCGGGGCGCCTGGGGGAGCCCCGGGCTCGTGGCCGGCCAGCGCGGGAACTGGACCCTGGGCGCGTCGTGGGGACCTGGACCGTCAGGGGAACTGAGCACGTACGTGCATATCGGGGAACCCGGGGATGACCGGAGCTCGTGGACCGGGCAGGGGCCATGCTCTCCGAGGCGTCCGCCAGGCCTGCAGCTGGGCTGCCGGGAGCAGCGGGGTACCTGGGCAGGGACCCCCTGGGCAGGGCGGGTCACGGGGGCCCGGGAGACCGGCGGTGCCGGGTTCTGGAAGCGTCTCAGCAGATATCTGCCTCCTGGACGGTGGTCTTAGAGGGCAGGCACTTCCCGAAGCGTGTCCAGTGCCGAGTATATCCTGCCCCGAAGGACCGAGGTTCGCGGGGCACTCCCAGGTTGTCCAGCCCTGGGGCATCGGGGTGCAGGCACCCCTGCCTCCTCTCTCGCTGTGGTTTTGTCCTGGGGCAGCCTGCTTGTCTGATCCTGGAGACCACTGCCCGAGATGAGGGATGCAGCATGTATTGGCCTGGGAGCCCAGTGGGATCCCCAGGTCGTGAGGGCTGGCCACCCGGGGCCAGTTCTCAATCAAAGGGGTCTTAGTAGCCGCATGGACGGCACACTTTCTGCAGAGCGCTTTCAGGGATCAGATGGGATGGTTCAATGGGGCCCAGGAATCCAGCATTATGGAGGGGGACCCCAGGCTGGGGCACTTCTGGGACGGGAACTTGGGTTGAGGGGAGCATGCCGGCCTCCACACTGTCCTACAGGTGCAGCAGATATGGGGGAGCCTGGAAGATCCATGCGGATCCTGGTGACCGGTGGTTCTGGGCTGGTGGGCAGAGCCATCCAGAAAGTGGTGGCAGATGGGGCTGGTCTGCCTGGAGAGGACTGGGTGTTTGTCTCCTCCAAGGATGCTGACCTCACGTGAGTGGTCCCCTCCCTCAGCCCTACCCCCAACTCAAGTCATCCCCAGACCACGTCCCCTGCCTAATAGGCCCACCTTCTCACACCAGTTGGTTCTGGCCTCTACTACCTTCGCTGTTGGTAGTTCACCTCCCTTGGGCCTGGCTCAGCCCAGCTTCCCTGCCCGACCACGAGTTCCCATGAGCCTCCCTGCAGCTCCTGACTGCCTGGCCCTCCCAGGGACGCGGCACAGACTCGGGCACTGTTTGAGAAGGTCCGGCCCACACATGTCATCCACCTAGCTGCAATGGTGGGGGGCCTGTTCCGGAACATCAAGTACAATCTGGACTTCTGGGTGAGTGAGGAGGCACCCAGCAGACTCTGGGAGCCAGGAGCCCCGGCTGCTGGGAATTCTATGGCTGGCTTCCCAAGGGCACCGTGTGCTGGCCATTCCTGAGGGGCTGAGGGCTGAGGGGTGCAGCTGGGCTTGTCTTGGAGAGGAGGAGTGCCCCAGCTCTTCTTTTCCACCTGCAGACACTTGGGGCTCCAGGTGGCCCAGGCTGCACCCACTCTTACTGCCCACTAGGGCCCTTCCACTTGAAATGGGTGTTCCTACTCCCACCGAAGCCCTTATGCTCCTCCCCCTCCACATCCTGCTCTCTGTGTTGCACCTGTTAGTGGCACACCTGCAGGGAGGCTGGGAAAGGTGTGTCCTCCTAGAGTGGCCCTGCCTGGTGGTGGGACAGGGACTCTGAGGGGGAGCTTCCTGGAGAGGAGGTGTCTTGGCCAGCCAGGCTTCCTCTCGCTGGGCGAAGGTTAGACACCCATCCTGGCCATGTCAGTGGCCAGGCTGTAGCCCACCTCTGCCTCTGGGGTTGCTGGCAGAGCTGTGCTGCTGCCTAGAGACACTGAGCCCCTCCCCCTCCCCATAGAGGAAAAACATTCACATCAACGACAATGTCCTGCATGCAGCCTTTGAGGTTGGCGTCCTCAAGGTGGTCTCCTGTCTGTCCACCTGCATCTTCCCAGACAAGACCACCTACCCCATAGATGAGACCATGGTGAGGAGGCAGGCACTCACCTGCCAGTAGCTTTAGCTTTGCATATGTATGATGTGTGGGGTGTGTGTGTGACTTGGGGGCGTGTGCAGCCTCGTCTGTGGGTGGGCCAGGGATGGGTCTGCACAGGAAGGGTGGGGCCTGACCAGTGGCCCCTGTGGCATCATGCTCCCCTAGATCCACAATGGCCCCCCCCACAGCAGCAATTTTGGCTACTCATATGCCAAGAGGATGATCGACATACAGAACAGGTCGTTTGGTCACCTCGGGGGAGGCCAGCGTGGGGAGGGGGAGGCCAGCATGGGGAGGGTGTGAGGAGGCGGGGTGGGAAGGAGACTGGGGGAGGGGGATGCTGGAGTGTGTGTGGGAGGCCAGCGTGGGGAGGGTGTGAGGAGGCCAGCATGGAGAGGGGGAGGCCAGCGTGGGGAGGGGGAGGAGGAGGCCAGTGTCGGGAGGTGGGGGAGGCTGGCAGTGGGCTTGGGCATGCCGTCCTCCCTGGTTGCACCTGTCCAGGGGCTCACGATGAGGGAGGCACCACTTTGTCACCACATAGGGCCTATTTCCAGCAGCATGGCCGGACCTTCACCGCAGTCATCCCCACCAACGTCTTTGGTCCTCACGACAACTTCAACATCGAAGACGGCCATGTGCTGCCAGGCCTCATCCACAAGGTGCACCTGGCCAAGAGTGAGTGCTGGCCACCAGTGCCCAGGGCGGCCACAGCAGGTCCCAGGGCGGGCAGGGCGGCCACGGCGGGTCCCAGGGCGGGCAGGGCGGCCACGGCGGGTCCCGGGGCGGGCTGACTGCGTTCTCCACGTCTGCAGGCTGCAGCTCAGCGCTGACCGTGTGGGGAACTGGGAAACCACGAAGGCAGTTCATCTACTCTCTGGTTCGTACCCCATCGCCAAGTCCTGGGCCTCTGCCCTCGGTCAGACCACTGACCTGCAGCCCTAAGCATGCCTTCCGTGCCCATGTGGGGGGCGTGAGGTGGACACCTGGGTAGATGAGGGAGGTAGCAGTGGCAGGGTTACCCCAGCTTCTTGCAGGCTGTGGATGTAACAGAGACCAGTGGAGCGAAGGCTGGGCCACTGAATGTCACCATGGGAGCTGGGGGCAGTGAGGGCAGCAAACTGGGCAATGAGTGGGCGCCGGCCTCTGATCCTGCCTGCCTGGCCCCCAGGACCTGGCTCGGCTCTTCCTCTGGGTCCTGCGCGAGTACAGTGAGGTGGAACCCATCATCCTCTCAGGTGCCTCACCTGCCCTGGAGAGCTTGCTGAGGGGTGGGCATATGGAGGCTGTTTGGAAGGGGGAGGATGGGTAGCCATGTCCATGCAGAGGGGCTAAGCTGACCGAGGGTGCCTGTCCCCACTCCCCCCTCATACCTGGTGAGGGCAGGGGGAGGAAGGGATCGGAAACCTTGTCCATGCAGAGGGACTGAGCTGACCCAGGGTGCCTGGCCCTTGGGTACCCACTGAGGGAAGGAGCAGAGCAGCCTGTGCACGTGGCTGGCTGAGCTGGCTGTGGGCACCTCCTTTGGCAGTGGGTGAGGAGGACGAGGTCTCCATCAAGGAGGCAGCAGAGGCCGTGGCAGAAGCCATGGACTTCCATGGGGAAGTTGTAGAATCCTTTGGCTCCTGTGGGGTGAGGGGTGGGGCCGGGGGTGGGGCCTGGCAGCTCCCCTGTGCAGACTGGAGGGGAGGTGTGGGGTATTTTGGAGACATTGATCAGGTGGAAGGGAGATGTCTCTTTCTGCTGTGGCCTTGACCTCAAGTCCAGTTTGACACCACCAAGTCGGATGGGCAGTTTAAGAAGACGGCCAGTAACAGCAAGCTGCGGACCTACCTACCGCACTTCCAGTTCACGCCCTTCAAGCAGGGTGAGTCCTGTCCAGCCTTGTCCTGACCTCCTCCCCTCCCCATCTGCCTCTGCACTGCCCCCTCTAGGTCTTTATGTTGTCAGCTGGGCAAAGACGGGACAACCACAGACCTAGGTCTTAGGCGGCATCTGGTCAGTGGCTAGGAGGTAGAGACACTGAAGCTGGAGGGGATGACAGCTGATGGTCCTGGGCCTCACCTGCCTCACCTCCCACCCTACAGCTGTGCAGGAGACCTGCAGATGGTTCACCAACAACTACGAGCAGGCCCGGAAGTGACACGGTGGACGGGGCAGCACTCGGTCCTCCCAGACCCAGTGCCAGGTTCCACAGCACTGCCCAGCACCTGGAGCCCACATTCCACCTCAGCGGTCTCTCGGGACCACCTGTCATGTTGATCCTCAGGGAAACCAGGACAGAGCCAAGCACCTTGCTCCTCGCTGGTCCCAGCGTCTGGGTCTGTCCACTTCTGACTCCGAACCCCCGTTGTCTGAGAGCAATAAAGTTCATTTTCACAGCTGTGTCAGCGGTGTGCAGCCCGCAGGGCCTGTTGGCCTGAGAGCTGCTGAGGGTCTGCCCTGGGCCTGATGGAGAATGCGGAAGGTGTGGGCCTGGGGTGGAAGAAGTTGTCCAGAGCTGGCACCCTGTAGTCTGGGTAGTGGGCATGTGTGGGCTGGACTGGGAGGGAGGGCGCTTTGCTGCAGTCCCCATGTATATGCAGGCCTGGCTTACGTGAGCCCAGGGAGGTTCCCTTAGACTTCAGCTGTAGGGTCCTTACAAGAGTGAGCCAGCCTGATTTGAGACAGGTCATCTGGAAGTGCAGGCTTGTGGGATGTGGATGCTGGGGACCCAGCCCTTCACCCTGCCTCCCTGTTCACGGGGTTCCCTCACACTAGGTCGCACGAAGTCTCACTGTGACCTCCCCTATGGAGTCCTTTCTGCAACCGCTATACCAGGTAGAGGCTGGGCAAGGACCTTCTTACCAAAAAAGGGCTGGATTATGAAAGAGGACCCTAGTTATAAATGGGTTTTAACCTTTTTTTGTGCCCGCTGTTACCTATCGCCCCGCCCCTACCCATCATTGCTCCGCCCCACGCCCGCCATCGCCCCGCCCCGTGCCTGTCATTTCCCAGCTCCTACCCTCCCGGACCCTCCATCACCGCGCCCCTCGCCCACCTCCTACCCACCAATACCCCGCCCCGTGCCCACGATCACCTCGCCTGTGCCGGCCATCGCCCTGCTCCTACCCACCACTGCTCCGCCCCTACCCAACATCTCCCCGCCCCATCCAACATCACCCCGCCCCTACCCAACATCGCCACGTCCCGTCCGTCACCCTAGACAACGGCCGTTTGCTTTCCGCCAAGGGGCGGAACTAGGGCGCTTGCCGTCCGCGGCGCCAGTAGCCGGCAGGCAGAGAGTCGGAAGAGGCGGTGAGATCCCAGCATCCAATCGACAAGGACAGGGGCGAGGAAGGGAGGTCCATTGGCGGGAGTGAGGTTTGAGGGGGCGGGCTTGACCTGGACAGCGCGATGGCGGCGGTGGAGGGACAAGCTCCGCTGCGCGTGGGCTTCGTGGGCGCAGGCCGCATGGCAGAGGCTATCGCGCGGGGTCTCATCCGGGCAGGTGGGCGTCGGCCGTTTCGCGAGGGTCTTCAGGCGGCAGGACGATCCTTCACCAGGACGGGCTAGGAGATGAGCTCCAGAGGACAGGGCGCGTGCAGGGTAGAAGTCGCCGTGGTTTGAGGCGTACGCTGTGTGCAAAATGCACGCCGGCGTTGGAAGACTTGGAAGTCCCGGATGCTTTAGTCGGCATTGTCACCCGCCTCCCATGCTTGCACAGATCCAGGGAGACTGGGGCTTTTAGAGGACTGAGCGCATGAGGGGCGTGTGCGAGCGAGCAGGCTGCACACGCAGCACTCAGACGCACGATCGACGTGTTCTGTGCGCTGATGGTGCCTGTCCGTCCCTCCGCCCTCTTGCTGGTCCGGACACAGTCTCACCCAGTCTTCCAACCGGTGTCGCCAGAGCACACACTGGCCCTGTCCAGAGGAGGCGTGGCCCAGGGGGCCTTTTGCGGCATCGTCAAGCCTAAGCTACCCTTAGGGCAAACCTGACCTCCGAAGGTCAGAGCCAGAGTCCTCTCCGGACGCCTAGCCAGCCCCGGCTGGTTCATCCTTACACACACAGCAGCAGGCAGGTGGCGGTGTCGGCCTAGTGGAGGCGCCGGTCTGACTGCCCACCTCTCAGCGGGGCGGGGGGAAGATGCGGAGACTCCGCTAAGGGGTGGGCCCCTCCTCTCATGCCTCCACCGTGCCCTCCTGACCACTCTGCTCCTCTGCTCTGGCCTCTAGGGAAGGTGGAAGCCCAGAACGTGCTGGCCAGCGCCCCGACCGACAGAAACCTCTGCCATTTCCAGGTGAGCTGAGAGGCTGGGAGAGGGTCGCTGGGAGAGGGCCTCAGGTAAGGAGTCTGGGGAAGAGCAGTGAGAGACTGGACAAGGGCAGCTGCTGGGTGGACCTTAGGTATTGGGAGTGGGGCCGCACAGCACTCTGGAGGTCTCCGTGGGCGTGCAGGCGGCCCCCAGCAGTTGGGTGATGGTTGAGAGGACCCAGCTCATGGCTGCCTGCCATGCTGTTGCAGGCTCTGGGCTGCCGGACCACGCACGCCAACCAGGACGTGCTGCGGAGCTGTTCTCTCGTCTTCTTGGCCACCAAGCCCCACATCCTGCCAGCTGTCCTGGTGGAGGTGGCCCCCGTGGTCACTGCCGAGCATATCTTGGTGTCTGTGGCTGCAGGAGTCCCTCTGAGTACCCTGGAGGAGGTGAGTGGCTGCTCCACGGTAGGGGAACAGCCTCTGTCCTGATGGGCCTCTCCCTCTCTTGCTGCCCCAGGCTGGTTCTTGCCTACACTCGGCCCTTCAGGGACCCTGGATGATCGAGTGGGTGCTCAGAGCCTGTCTGCCCGCCTCTGACCTGCACAGGGATGGGGCCACTGACTCCCCCGTCTTCGGCAGCTTCTGCCCCCTTCTGCCAGGGTCCTGCGACTCTCACCCAATCTGCCCTGCGTGGTCCAGGAGGGGGCCATGGTGCTGGCCCGTGGCTGCCGGGCTGGGAGCAAAGAGGCCGAGCTCTTGCAGTCTCTGCTGACAGCCTGCGGTCGATGTGATGAGGTGCCCGAGGCCTACATGGACGTCCACACTGGGCTGAGCGGCAGCGGCGTGGCCTTTGTGAGTGCCCTGCTCCTGCACACCAAGCTGGCATTTGGTCTCTGTCCCTGGATGGTAGGGGCTCTAATCCTTATATCAAGGCCCCCGTATATCCCAGCTCTGTAAAACTCGGCCTCTAGGAATCCCTTTACAGCCCCTGGGGTCAGCCCTGCACCTGGTCCTCAGGCTTCCAGGATTCTGAGCTCCACTGTCCAGGGGAAGTGAGATCTGAGTGCCCCATATCTGCTTATAGGTGTGCGCCTTCTCTGAGGCCCTGGCTGAAGGCGCTGTCAAAATGGGCATGCCCAGTCACCTGGCCCATCAGATCGCCGCCCAGACCCTGCTGGTGAGCCGTGGATGCAGATCTGGGGGTGGACAGGGGGATGGTAGATAGGAGGAAGACAGTCTTGTGTCCCTCACCACCCTGTTCCCTTCTCCCTAGGGCACAGCCAAGCTGCTGCTGCAGGAAGGCCGGCACCCCGCACAGCTGCGGACCGATGTGTGCACGCCAGGTGGCACCACTATCCACGGGCTGCATGCCCTGGAGCGGGGTGGGCTGCGGGCAGCAACCATGAGTGCTGTGGAGGCCGCCACCATCCGGGCCAAAGAGCTGTGCAGGAAGTAGACCCAAGCCCCACCAAGTCCTACTGCTGGACTCTGCCTGGCCAGGGCATCTGAGGGCACACCGGTTCAGGCAACCTCTGCCCTTTCTACTCACACCTCCAAGCATCTCAGAGTGTGAGGGGACAAGACACAAGACCTGCAGGTCCCCCTGATCACTACTCTGACTTAGCAAGCCAACTGTCTGGCCAGAGAAGCAGACACCTTTCAAAAGGAGGTGGCAGGCCCTGTGTAGTGAGCCCTGCAGGGTTGAGAGGGGCCCAAGGTCATGCACAGCAGTGCCCGCCAGCTGCCAGGACACCCATTTTCCAAGCCCAGCTTCCCACTCTGTCTCACACAGCTCAGGCATTGGTGCGCACTGGTGCCTGGCCCCATCCTCCTCTCTGGGGCACCTCTGAGGCTAGGACCCTGTCCCAAGGGTAGACCAGCCACGAGGTGAGGCCAAGGGTTGGTGACTGGCATCTGTCCTGCACCTGGGGTGGTCTGAGTGGCATGGGAATCCCTGAAGAACAGAGTGCATACAGAAGAGAGCTGTCACCCCCGACTGAAGTCTGGAGGGAGGGGCTCCCTGGGTCTCAGGGATCCTCCCAGGTCTGGAACCCAAGAGGTCTCCTAGCCCTGGCTCCATCTTCCTACCTCTTAGGCATGTCCCCAGGCCTTCTCAGGGAGAGTGAGGCACTAGGAGCTGGGCAGGACAGGGTGGTCTTCTACCCTCCCAGGACTCACTTGGGGCATACCCACTTTCATCCTGCACTCCTCCCCCCGCCCCCCTCAGTGGCTCTGGGTGGAGCAGCAAGGCATTTATTCAGTATCTGTCCCTCTCCCCCCAACCTGTGTGGTTCTGTGGAGATGGACTTCCTTCTGCAAGTGAGGGCACTCAGGAAGGTGTTGGTCCACCTGCAGAGCCTGCTGACATCCCCAACTTCTCCAGGGCAGCGGTGTCCTCCCAGCCCCAACCCAGCCCATTGACCCTGGTCCTGGGTGGGGGGTGTCTGCCCTGTGTCAGAGGGGTAAGCTGTTGGCTTCCACACCCAGGTTTTTTTTGTGTTAAATGGGTGTAAAGACATGCATCCATTTCAGGGGACCGAGATGCCCATTGATAGCAATCAATAAAGCCCAATTCCATTTGTTTTCCATTCGGAAGTATGTCTCAATAGGGGCTTGGGGTTCTGGCTCTTTGCTGACACCGAGGTATGAGGGACTAAGAGGACAGTTTCCCACCTGTCACCTGAGCTCAACTCAGCAGTCACAGCTTCTCACCCTTGACTACTCAGGGCCCATCTCACCTCCCCCGTGACTCTTGACGAGGGTCTTTCAACACCTGCCTAAAAGCCACTCCTGAGTAGGGGGCTCCAGTGAAGACTTCCATCTGGGGGGCAGCCTGGGAGAAAGGCAAGATCCACAGCTGTCTGCAGACTTGACCTTCAAGTGACATGGGATTTCAGGGTGGAATTTGAGGAGTGATCAGATTTTTTCTTTAATCAATGATGTTGCATTTTTTAAAGGCAATACATGATAAGGTATTATGGTTATCACAGGAATCCAGGATTAAGGTTGCATAGTGGAGTGCATTCAGGGCAGGGGTGGGTGGATTGTATAACAATGAGGAAGCTTATCTTTTGCTTTGCTAAGAGAGGAGCAAACTGGAGGGGCACAGAGAAAAAAGTGCAACAATGAATGAACGGAAATCCAAAATCTCTGTAAATGTTCATTAAAATTAACAGTTTTTTAAGAAAAATGATGTTGCATTTTATGCTGCTCTCCCTTTAAAGCTATTGGGTGTTGTTGCATATCCAAACACTGGATTAATACATGTTTTTCCAAAACTTAATTTCCATTCACCCTTCTCAGTATAACGTCCCTCTCCAAGCAATAGCCCCTCCTAGCAATATGCCCAACGTATGTGAGGCAAAGCCTCATTCTTGTCTGCAAAGGTACCTCTGACTGCACCCTCTCCAAGACATATGTTTGTTCTTTTGGCCGTTCATGGGATGTTCAGTGCTCATCTCCACAGCTCAAAGGTGTCAATTCTTTTTCTGTCATCCTTGTTCATGGCTGAGCTCTCAGATGTATAGCAAGTGACTGGAAAATCCACAGCCTAATTCAGACACACCTTAGTCCTCAAATTGACATCATTACTTCTCAATAATTTGGAGAGGTCCCTAACTGCAGAATTTCCCTGTGCAATGTGTCTCCTTATCTCCTGACTGCTGATACCAAGGGTGTCAATTGTGGGTCCAAGCAGTTTGAAGTTGTTGACAGTTTCAATCTTCTCTTCCTCCATCATGACGCTGCCTATTGGTCCAGTGTTAAGAATGGAAAGATGTAATCAAAAGTCTGACCCTGTTGAGTGGACACATCCACCTTTTATTGTACAGCACTGCTGGAGTGCTGGACAGGTGGACTTGCTTTCTGGGAGTTCGGAAAGCACCCTACCTGCATGCCAGCCCTCTCTGTTTGGAGTCACACCATAAGCTTTCAAGCCTTGACCCTTGGATTGCTGTCAGCCTGAGTCTGAAAGCAATGGAAGGGGCACCTGGACCCCATTGCAGGAACATGGGGCAAGGCCCAGTTCCCAAAGGGGCCTGACTCCAAGACAGCCTGTGGCTACCCAGGGACATTCTAGCATCTTCCACCCCAAGGGATCAACCCTCCCCTTTACTACTCCAGATCCAGGCAGTAAACTCATGCCTGATGGCAGGCCAGGCAGCAATACCACAGATGGGCGCCTATCACTGCTGCCACACAGCCCACAGCCCCTTTCCTGTCTTGGTTTTCTCTTGGCCAATGGTAGGGCTTCAGGAAGCTGAGCTGTCCACCCAAGGCACCACTGCACTTGCCTCCAGAGAGCTACGTCCCCACCCAGAGCAGGACTTCCAGACTGGGAACCAGAGCCAGGGAGGTGGAGGGTGAGAAGTGGCCTCAGGTGTTGGGGGGATGGGGCTCAGGTGAGCACTGGGCCTGCAGCTGCCCCCCATCTGTTCCACTCACTGCCCCTCCCCTGGGCTTCTGAGGTTATCAATCTTTGTGAGATTGCCTCCTCTCCCTTCCCAGGTGAGGCTGGTGGGCTTTGACTGCAGATCTCTGCTAGCTGTCTAAGAATTCTAGAAGAAACAGGCTCTAAGTGGCACCCCCTTGAACCTGGCAGACCATTATCCAGTCATCTGCACTTTCCTGGTCCCTGGGACAGTGTGGTGTGGAGCTCAGGGGAGGGGGGCCCCAGTACCTTCAAGTCACCTGTCCAGGCCAACAGGAAGAGACAAGCTGGAAATCCCGCAGGGGGCTCTCAGCCTCAGGTCGGGGACTCTCATCTGGCACCACCTTCTGCCTTCAGTTTGTCCCCTCTTCGTGGCCAGTGAACAGAGGCCCAGCCATGCACCTCCAAGTCTCCAACCCCAGGGAAGCCGACCTGCTGCCTGGCGGGAGAGCCCTGAGCAGCCCAAGCCCAGCTTGTGTGGAGGCCTAGGCAGGTCAGATGCCCAGAGCTTGGGTTACAGGACTCCCCAACCCCCACGCTTCTCCCGCAATCAGATTAGACATATCATGGGTTTCTGGAGGGCAGTGGTTCCAAGGACCACTGGACTCCTGTGAAGACTACCCTGGAGCACCGCGTGTGGGGGATGGGGCCAGGGGGCTGTGTGCTCCTGGGGTCTGTCCTTGGAAACACCCAGTGCCCTTGATCCAGGACTCACATCACAGAGCCCATGGTCCTATCACCCTTAACAAGCCCCATCCCCCTGCTCTCAGCTGAGCAAAGCCTGGCCTGGCTAGTGCTTCCTGGAGCAAGCTGGGCAGGGACCATAGACCCCTCCTCTCTCTTCCAAAGTGCCCTCCCCCAATCCCTGGCAATGGGTGATGAGGGAACAGGGCTGGGGGAAGACCCAGTGAATGTAACCCTGCAAATGGTCCCAGGCTGTGCAGCTGGCCAGAGCCGGCAGTAGCAGGGGTGAGAGGGTAAGGAGATGGACTTGGGTGTCCTGCAATCCTTTAGGTTTCCAGGGTCCATGCCTAATGCTGGTGAATGCCCAGAAACAGGCGAGTGCTCAGCGAGCCATGTTATCACTGAAGGCAGGACGAGGGTGAGTAGAGCACCAGTCCCCTGTGGTCACTGAGGGGCCTTTCCAGCCACCCTGTGCCAACAGCACCATGGGTACAGCCTGGAGCCCACCACCTTGCTGAGTTCTGACTTCCTGGAAACTGGAAAGGGAGCCACCTACAGCACGGTGGCCACGAGGGACCACACAGCTGGGCTCTGGTCACTTCCAGTGCATGTGACAGGGACAGCCTAAGGTTCCTCCACACCCAGGGAGGAAGCTGGCCCCAGATGGCCGACTGAGCACTGCTAAGCCCTCCTGATAAATGCTGCAGCTTGCGCAGGGCGTGAAGCAGCCCAGCAGGGGTCTTGCCTGGGGAGGATCCTGGGCTTCAGCACCTCCACTGTGGGAGATAAGGTGACCCTTCACAAGTGGAGGCCTCCAAACCCAGCAGGGAGCCTTTCCTGTGCCCTTGGGGTGGACCACCCCTAGGGAAGACGGTGCACCCCTCCTCTAATCGCCACCGGAGAAAAATGCCCCTCCCGGTCACACCCCGTCCTCTGGCACGCCCCCCTCGACAGCGCCCAGCCGCCGGGTCATAGTGATGAACGAGCGCAGCTGCACCAGCTGCAGTGGCCCCACTTCCCCGGGGTCTCGGCTCTCCAGCCACCGCAGAGCGGTCTCCAGACCCCTAACAGCCTGGCCGGCAGTAGGCACAGGGATCCCAGCCCTCTCGGCAGCTGCAGGCCCCTCCCCCGCCTCCTCTCCACTTCCCAAGTCCGGGGACTGATAGTCCAGGGGTGCAGAGGTGGCAGGGGCACTCCAGGGCGGCGGGCGCATGTCTGCCTCCTCCCGGCTGCCCTCACATAACCCACCGTCATCATCCAGGTGCAGCCACTGGGCCACGTCCTCGGGCGCCAGGCGTTTGTAAGCCAGGGCGGCCCGGTGGGTGAGGTCGCCGAGCACCCTGCTGTGCTCTTTCGCCTCCTCCTGGCCGTCTGGAGGGCCCACCCGCGTCTCCTGGGACTGGGACTCGAAAGCAGCGCGCAGGCCGAGCAGCCAGCAGCGCTCGATGCTGCCCGCCTGCACCAGGTCCCAGGAGAGGCCGGCCAGATACAGCATGTCCTTGAGCATGAAGCTGCGCATGAAGTCCAGCGGGGAGCCGCCCGCGCACGACACGGCCAGGCGCAGCAGCTCCCGCTTGTACCGCTGCTTGAACGCGACCACCACGCCCTGCTCCAGAGGAGCGGGGATCTGCGCGCCGCCGCCCCGGGTCAGGAAGAGCACGCGCACAGCGCCATCGGGCGTCTGCAGCTCTTCCGGGGGCCCTGGGGGCTCGGGGCGGGCCCGCCGGGGGCCCTCCTCGCTCTCGCTCCGGGCCGGCGTCCTAGGGGCCGGGCTCGGCCCGGGAGGGTGGGCCACCAGCAACACAGCCTTCTGCTGCAGGCAGCAGCGACGCAGGTAGCGCTTGACGCCAGGGACGAACTCCTCGAAGAACCAGCCCCGCAAGAGCGGGCGGCTGAGCCAGGCGTCCGGGCTGTAGCGGTAAGATGCAGGGAACTTGTCCTGGTTGTGGTGGCGCAGGCTGGGCGGGTCGGGCAGTTGCCCGATGACCAGCGGCTTCAGCTTGTGGCTGCCCGTCAGGTTGGCGGCCAGCAGCACCGTTACCCGGTCGCCCCGCCAGCGCCGGCCGGAGCTCCCTCCCCCGGGACCCCCTGCGCCCCGGGGCGCTGCCTGCTGGGGGAGCAGCTTCCAGTAGAGTCCGGTGACGTTGGCGTTGTAGATCTGCTCGTCGCCGTAGCCCCCGTCG